CTACAAGACATATACCTTACACACAAAGATAAACATAGATTTAAAAAATCAAAGGATGAATAAAAATATATTAAGCTAATGGTAAAAAGTAAGCATAAGTGGCAATATTACTTACTGATAAAATAGACCTTAAGGCAAGCACCAATGTAGAATACAAAGAAGGACATTATCACATGATTAAAGGGTCAATTTAATAAGAAGTATCTATGTTCCCAATGAAAGAGCTTCCAAATATGTAAATCAAACTCTAATTGAATTCAAGAAAGACACATATCACAAGAATTGTTGTTAAGTATCATCAAGTCAGTTCTAACCCATAGCGACCCAGTATAGGGTTTCCAAGGAGTAGATGGTGTGCTTGAACCACTGACCTCGCCGTTCAAACCGACTTTCCAGTCATATAAGACATTATAGTCTTATAAGAGTAGAAAATTTTAATACACCACTTTCGATGAAGAACAGAACAACCAGAAAAAAACTCAACAAAGACAAAGAATTAAAAAACACAATCAACCAACTTGATCTCATATACAGAGCACTCAACCCAATAATGGACTCCTGGTGTGGCATTGTAGGATCAGCAATGGACTAGGAACCACAAGGTCAGCAGGTCAAACCCACCAACTGCTCCTTGGAAACTTTACACAAGAACACTATGAGTCAAAACCGACTCAGCACTTATTAACAAGAAACCAACAACAACGCAATGCACATTCTTCTTTTCCAGTGCATATGGAACACTCTCCAGAACAGAAAAAACATCAAGTCACAATAAATTTAAAAACATCGAAATACTACAAAGCATCTTTTCAGATCACAATGCTATAAAACTAGAAATCATTAATAGGAATATCAAGGGGAAAAAATCAAATTCATGGAAATTGAATAACATTCTGCTTAAAAGCTACTGGTTAATGAGCAAATTAAAAATGAAATAAAAAAGACTCCTTGAATCAAATGAGAACAAAAATAAAAAATTCAAAACTTTTGGAATAAAGTAAAAGCAGTGCTTAGAGTGCAATTTACATCAATAAACACACACATCCAAAGAGAGCAAAGAATCAAAATCATCACATTAACATAACATTTCCAACGATTAGAGAAAGAGTAGCAAAGTAAGCCTACAGCCACCACAAGAAAAGAATTCATAAAGAAGAGAGCAAAAAGAAATGAAATAAAAACAGAACAGTACAAAGAATCAAAAAGCAATAAGTTAGTTCTTTGAAAGGATTAATAACATTAACAAATTAAACTTGTGAAATCTAACAAAAGAAAAGACGAAGCTATAAATAACACTCATAAGAAAAGATAGGGATGATGTCACTGTAGAGTCAATGACGATATAAAGGATAATAACAGAATCCTGTGAAGAATTGTAGTCCAATAAATTTGAAAGTCTAGAAGAAATGGACAAATTTTTAGGAAAACACAACCTACTAGCACAGAAGGAATTAGAAAACTTCAGAAAATCCATAACAAAAGAAGAAATTGATTAGGTCATTTAAAAAACTCCTCACGATAAAAAAACAACAACAGTCCGGCCCCAGAGAGCTAACAGCAGCTCCCGAAGAAATTTTATGAAGCAGACATAATGCTCATACCCCAAATAGGCAACAAAATCACTAAAAGAGAAAATTATAGACCAATAGCTCTCATGAACATACATACAAAAAATTTCAACAAATTCCTAGCCAACAGAATTCAACAACATAAAAAACAAGCAAACAAAAAAACCCCAACATCATGACCAAAAGGGACTCATTCCTGGGATACAAAGATGGTTCAATATTATACAAACAATAAATGTACTCTACCACATAAAAACAACAACAACAACAACCACATAAATACAACAAAGGAAAATAACCATATGATCACATAGTTAGATGCAGAGAAGGCATGTGACAAAATCCAACATCATTCCTAATAAAACACTCAACAAAATAGGAATAAAAGGTAAACTCCCCAACATAATTAAGGGTATATATACATTTCCGACAGCCAACACTACTCTCAATAGAGAGAAACTGTAATTATTCCCTTTGCAAATAAGAACCAGACAAAGATGCACTTTATCACCACTCTGATTCTTTGCAAAAGCTATAAAGCAAGAAAGAGAAATTAAAGGCATCTAAATTGGAAAAGGGGAAGTAAAAGTCTCTATTTACAGATGATATGATCCTATATATAGAAAATCCCAGAGACTCAGCAAGGAAATCATTGGAACTCATTGAAAGATTCAGCAAAGTGGCATGGTACAAGAGCAATATACAAAAATCAATTAGAATCTTCTACATTAATAAGGCGCTCTGGTAGCGTAGTGGTTACGAATCGGGCTGCGAACCTTAAGGTCAGCGGTTCGAAACTACCAGCCACTCCACGGGAGAAAGATGAGGCTTTCTACTCCCGTAAAGTTTTACACCCTAGGAAACCCTGTACAGGG